TATTCTACCATCTGAATCATCTTGTCATCTGGTATTAAATTATCCTATCAATCCATTCAACATTTACGAATGCACATTCCTCAACATACTACTTATAAGTAGTTTTATTAGTAGCGTCTACTACATTAGTTTCATACTATTAAAAAGTTCTATTCTCATGAATGAATTAAGTAATTTCTAGGCTGTATATATATATAAACATACATTGAAATCAAAAGTAAGGTTCTCATTAATTTTTCTAATCTCAAGGGAAATTCTACCCTATTTTCATTAGAAATTATCTTCTGATTATTTGTAAATAGAATAGAAGTAGTAATTATGAATTCATTGAAATTATTCTTGTACCCAGTGAATTTTTAATGAATCTAAGGTATACATAAATATAGATATAATTCTATAGTGAATTATTAACACAATGGACAGTTCAGTAGTAAATGGTTATAGGGGAGATAAATAAAATATGCAATTTGAATAAGAATATGAATGAAGTCTATTTTGATCGTAGATGTACACTGTTGAAGAATCCCACAATAAGAAGAAACGGACATTAAATCCTTCCGATGCTGAGACTATAATTTATGAATGAACCAATTAGATTTAAGATATTAGGTGTCAGATTTTGGAGCGAAATTCATTCATCTAATTGATTAAATAGAGTTTAGGCATGATAACTGATGTCAGTTCATAATGTAAACCATAATTCTAATTCCTAATTCTAATCATCAATTGTCTTTGTTCTTCAAACTACTTTATAATCTTCATTTAGCCCTAATAAGTAGTTAGACAATCTTAAGGTCACCTTGGTGTCGCTCAAGAGTGGTCTATAAATCATAGTCTTATTCTACCAGGTTTTCCATGATGGTTTAACTTCATTTGATTTATGCAATTCAACTATAAAAGAACGAAATAATCAATTAGGAAATTAAGATAAAACGAAATAAGAACACAACTTTTATAATATAATATCAACTAGTAAATAATTTATCCATATAAGAAGGGTTTTTTGGAAATTTTAGTCATTTCAATAGTTGAGATCGTGAATCAATTGAAGTTAGACCACAAAATGGCTGTTCAGTGCTTTCCACAAAACCCCTTCTGATACTAATCAACATATGCTCAATATTGACTGGCTTCTCACGAGGTATTTCCTGGAGTTCTAGTGAGATGCAGTGACCAGTGAAGTTCAACCAGATCAGTTGTGAGATAGTAACTCACTAATGACAATGGTGGATGTGTCGCTCAATTTCGTGGATTAGTTGAAATTAAACATTAACACCGTTGAATGACGGCCGGCTCAGTGCAAGAGACTGATAGATCCTGGATTCGTATCTCGCTAAGCAGGGTTGTAGATGAGCACTGCAGAGGATTCCCACAATAGGACGAAACGGCCATACAGTGCTTCCAGGTTTTTCATGGTTGTCTAGCTTCAATTGATTCATGATCTCAACTATTGAAATGATTTATTATTGATTTACCTGATTTACTGAGAGAAACAAACATTATTTACCTTAAGTAAATATTGAAACGATTATTTAATTTCTTAAAATTAACTACTTTTTGATATTTACCTGACCACAATTAGACTATTGATAAACAACAATCACTAGATAGATGTTCCATCTTAGTATTGGACCTTTGAGTAATGTGTATCCATGCACATATTAGAAATGAAGTCAAGAATGTTCAGTCTTTCAGTGAGCGTTTAATATTTATCTCACTGTACATAGATCTCATAGTGTACATGTTTAATTTTAATTAGTTTGGCGTTTGGAGCAACTATCTTTCAATACAATGGATAGTTAGCTGATTTAAATTCCTTCGATCATAGCTCCTTACTGAAAGTAACAGTCAAGAAAAGTTAAGACAGATAAGATTTATAAAAGCCTTAAACAATTAAGTGAATATCCACTGAATTAAGAAGTAAAGGTTTAAAGTTAACAAGAACCAATCAACATTGTGGTCTACAAAACAATCTGTGAACCACATGTGGATAAATTTGAACACTTCACTTCTATTTGAAGTTTATGCTGATAATGTCGTTCAGAAAGCTCCATGACCAAACTATTCAGCTCAGAGAACAAAACTTTATCAAAACTAAATTAACAAAAATCTAACTAAGATCGGTTCATGATTTCAATGTAAAGTTAAAAGTTTTAACCAGATAATTTACCTAATAAGTTAGAAAATAATTATTTTATCGAGCAGAAGAAAAAGTCTGTCAGAGTCAACATGGATCCTTATTCCATCCCATTCGATTGACGACAGTTATACATTCGGTCTGCACTAAGAAGGACTTGACACACATGACATTGATCACCACCCAGTGATCAATCAACCGTGAAACTCAGTATACTTGCAATACATGCTTCATCTCGTGGAGGCTGAGATTGGTATTCTGGGCTTAAATAGCTGAGCTAGCTGTTAAACAGGACCGATAAGGACTCTAGACTGCTCTTACGGGTTTTGATACGTCATTGGTCTGATCGATAATTCACTGTTCTCTAATTGGCGGTATCATTACGTTAAACATTAACAGGGCACATAGGCCACAAGTTATAACACTCGATTCATGGTATCATGTTGTTTACTATTTTAATGTTTATTCTACTATACCTATCACCGTACTATTAATTCATACTTTTATTGATTATGATCAGTCTTGTAATCCTTTTCCTTAACATGATAAACCGATCGAAGTTAGACAACCATTCAAAACCTGAAAGCATTTGAAAAGCAATATCGTCCTAATGTAAAATCTACCAATGGGTATCAATGGCCCAACCAAAGTGAAGATTCACAATGTCAATGAAATTCAGTCTTTTATATAATGTTTATACTAATAATCTTTTCTGATTGTGATTACCTTGATTATTATCAGAAGGGGTTTTGTGGAGATTTTATTCATTTTCATAGTTGAATTCATGAGTTAATTAAAGCTAGACCACCATGGAAAATCTGGAAGCATTGGAGGGTCATTTCGTCCCAGTATGAAACTTTTCAGCAGTGCGCATCTATGATTCCGCCCCGTGAGATCCAAACCCTGGACTTATTAGTCTCGAGCACTAGTGTTTGACCATTAGACTAATGAGCTAGCATCCAACAGTGTTAATGTCTAACTTCAACCAATCCACGAAATTGAGCCACGTTGATTAGTTTAAAAATCTTCATCTATGCATATAAATATTATATTAGTATATAAAAATAAAGTCACTTTATGAAGACCTGATTCAATATAACAGTGTTTGCTTATCTGTACTATCCATCATTGTATTCATCGAATTGACATGCTTGTACTGCTTCAGAAGTGCTTGAAAATAAAAAACATGGTGATAATGATCACTGATTGTTATATACAACAAGCTAGAACAATAATGATAATAATATAATCATTCAGATAGGATTTATATGTGTTATAACTTGCGGCCTTGTGCTCTATTAGTATATAACGTAATGATACCGCCAATTAGAGAATAGTGATTTATCGACCAGACCAATGGCGCGTAAAATACGTACGAGCAGTCTAGAGTACTACGCGATCATTCTTCTTACCTGGCCCTGCCTGTTAAGTGCAGAACATCAATCTTAGTCTCTGCAATGTGAATCATGGATTTCAAAGATACTGGGTTTATATACAAAACCAAATAGACCACATCGTAACAATAAAATAGGAAACAACATTTATACAAGATTTGGCCAAATGTGGCTGTGAATGTGGGAGAGTGTAATTAATAGACTAGGCATAACAAGAACGATAAATCGTATAATAATAGTCTGTGGGTCAAAATGAAGCTTATAATAAGATGGACATGATTATGAATAGTTTTGTTATTTAACAATTATACGATAAAAATATACGTATAGGATTAGTCCAAAGATAGATTCAGATATTTACCATTGATTATTCTCATCAGTATAACAAAATATGTACTTCACTTTACCTTATTTAACTTTTCTTACGTACTTACTTACGCCTGTTACTCACAATCGAGCATAGGCCGCCGACTAGCATTCTCCAAAAAACTCTGTCCTCGGCCTTCTTTTCTATTTCTATTCAATTCATGTTCATTCTTCTCATGTCAGTCTCCATTTCTCGGTGTACTGTGTTATTTGGTGTTTCTCTTCTCTTTTGGCTTTGAGGATTCCATGTGAGGGCTTGTCTTGTGACACAGTGAGGTGCTTTCCTCAATGTGTGTCCTATCCACTTTCAACACTTCTTCCTAATTTCTTCCTCCACTGGGATCTGGTTTGTTCTCTTCCAAAGCGGGTTGTTGTTATTAGTGTCCGGCCAACGGATCCGAAGTATTTTGCGTAGACAACTGTCAATGGACAGCTGTATCTTCTGCATGATGGCTTTCGTAGTTCTCCAGGTTTCCGTCCCATACAGTAGAATTGTCTTGACATTTGTATTGAAAATCCTGACCTTGGTGTTGGTTGACAGTTGCTTTGAGTTCCAGATGTTCCTCAGTTGTAAATATGGTACTCTTGCTTTGCCGATCCGCGCCTTCACATCAGCATCAGATCCACCCTCTTCATCAATGATGCTGCCCAAATATGTAAAGGTTTTTACATCTTCCAAATCTTCTCCATCAATTTTGATTGGATTGTTGCATGTTGTGTTGTATCGGAGAATCTTGCTTTTCCGTTTGTGTATATTGAGACCTACTGCTGCTGAAACTACTGTTACACTGATCGTGTTCTCCTGCATTTGTTGTTACGTGTACGATACAAGGGTCACGTCATCTGCGAAGTGTAGATCGTCCAGCTGCATCCTAGATGTCCACTGTATCCCGCGTTTCCCTTCAGATGTTGACGTCTTCATGATTCAGTAGATCACCAGGAGAAAGTGAAAGGGTGAAAGTAAGCAACCTTGCCTGATACCGATTTTTACCTCGAACGAGTCTGTATTGCTTATAATACAAATGTATTAATCAATATTTTATTAAATATCATAATAATAAACTTGTACTTTCTTTTTCTTTTTTCTTCATTATTTCTCACAGAATTACAAACTTCTCAATTAACAGTGAATCGACCTCAACAAAAATCATCATCTTCATCCTCATCTTATTGGTCATATTATAATAATAAACAACAATCAATGAAATCTAATAAACAATCATTATTACATAATTATAAATCTAAATCTAAAATATTTTCTATTAAAAATACATGTTATCAATTAATATATAATTTATGGTTATTTTTACGTTGTTTCTTAACCTTATTATGTTTATTACCAACATGTTTATTTCATTGGTTGCTATGTGGTAACGGTGTTAGTGGTGGAGGTGGGTATGGTGGGATTGGTGGTGGTGGTGGTAATCAAAAAATTAAAAAAATTCAACGTAGTCATAGTTTTTTATTTTATTTATATGTTACTATCAAATTATTATATTTAATAAATATAATTGGACAATTATATTTAATGCAAATATTTCTTGGTGTAAAATCATATTTTTTTGGTATCTATGTATTAAAAGATTTAATTTATGGGAATATATGGAGTGAAACAGGACATTTTCCACGTGTAACCTATTGTGATTTTGAAGCGAAAAAATTAGGAAAAAATTATAAGTAAGTGTGAATGAATAATTTAATTGTTTTAAAAATAATTAGTTGGATTTCTCAATCCTACCCCTATCTCCCTCCCTCTCTCTCTCTCTCTCTCTTTGTCCCCATGGAGGATACAATAACAACAAAAAAGTGGAGAAGAATATTTGAGTAAATAATTGTTTTTTATAATAATTTCATCATCAATAGATGATAAGCCTTGCGAATTGAATGCTATATTCGTTTTCTAATCTATTCTGTAACCCCTAAGCTAGAACTATACAGCGACCTGAACAATGAAAGAGAAGAAGCAAAGTATGCAAGAAGTACTTCACTTCAAGGTTGCTAGAAGATCCTGGAGTGCTACTAAACATAGTAGCAGTGTAGCAGCCAGCCAATCAAAGCATCTACATGTTATGTTTCACTACCTGGATATTTTTGGCTAAAACTTCAAGTGAACGCTGATTGAATGGAATGCTTCTTAGTGTTTCCTGATCCCTGCTTGTTTTTTGCAAAAAAACTTTCTGGATCACTCCGACAATATTTCATTAATCATTATGTTTAAACTATAAACTAATTCAAAGAAGGGGTTTTTGTGAATATTACAATAAATTTTAATAATTGAATTGATGAGTTAACTGAAGCTAGATCAACACGAAGAACTTGGAAGCACTGAACTGTTGTTTCATCTTAGTATAGGACTCCTCAGCAGTATGCATCCATGATTCAGCCTCATAAGAATCAGACTCAAGACTTATCAGTCTCATGTGTGGACGCTTAAACTTTAGACCACTGAGTTGGTCAGTATCCAAATGTATGAATGTCTAACTAGGATGAAATGGTTGACCAGTGCTTCCTGGCTTTTTATGGCAGTCTAGGTTCAATTGACTCATGAATTCAACTATTAAAATCTAATAAATTCCGTATCTACTAACTATAATATTGAGTGTATGCAAGTCGTTCAAATGATTTTCGATCCCCAAAGGGCTTCTTAATGTCATACTATTACTACACAGAATACTTGACATAACTTTTCAAGAACATTACTTTTTAAAGACAACAAGGTAAGGTATATTATGCATACATTCGTTCAGTAACTAGATTATGTATATCTATCTCTATTCCTCTTATTATAAGCTTCATTTTGACCTATAAATTATTATTATGATACGATTTATTATTTTAAAGTTATATTCAATTAATTGATTACAATCTTCCATATTCACAATCACATTTTAAATTGATCTTGTATCAATGTTATTTCTTATTCTATGATATAATTCAATCTGTTTGACTGGTATATAAGCTCCTTCTGATACTAATCAACATATGCTCACTAGTGATTGACTTGAAGAGAGATATTCTGGAGTTCTGATGAGAAGCAGTGACTAGTGGAGTTTAACCGGGTCAGTTGTGAGGTAGTAACTCACTGATAACAATGGTGGATGTATCTCTCAATTTCGTAGATTAGTTGAAATTAGACATTGGATGCCGGTCAGCTCAGTGGTCGAGTTGGTTAAGCGCCTGACGTGAAACTGATAGATCCTGGGTTTGTATCTCGCGAGGCAGGGTTGTGGATGCGCACTGTTGATGAGTCCCACAATAGGACAAAACAGACGTCCAGTGCTTCCAGGCTTTCCATGATCTCAACTGTTGTCATTACTACAGTCTTCACAAAACCCCTTCTGATACTCATTATTATTGATTTAGTACACTACTAAAATCGATTAAATCATCTATCGATTTTCAAATAAATTACGTAATAATTAATCATAATACATTTTTTAAATATTTTTTTCTTTCTTCTTTTCTTTTTCTTTTTTTTTCTTTTTTTTTACAGATATACTTTACAATGTGTATTACCATTAAATTTATTTTTAGAAAAAGTTTATGTATTTTTATGGTTTTGGTATTTATTTATTGGTTTATTAACATTTTATAGTTTAATCAAATGGTTATTACGTTTAACTATACCTAAAAAACAAATCAAATTTATTAAAAAATTTTTATATTCATATCAATCAATTAATCAATCAATAAATCAATCAATCAATTTAAATCAATTTAAATTATTTATAAATCAATATTTAAATCTTGATGGTATATTTGTTTTATGGTTATTATCAATGAATATGAATGATATTATGATGAATGATTTAATTAGAATATTATGGAATTTATTTTTAACAAGATTATATACAATACAATCAATCACTATATCAAAAATCAATAATCCATTAATGAATTCAATGAATGAACATCAAAAAAAATTCTCTTATTTATATCAATCAATGAATAGAAATCAATCAAATGTATTAATAAAATCAATAATCAATGAACAAAATGATAATAATAATAATAATAATAATCAATTATCTAATTATCATTACATTACATCATTGAAGAAATATCCAATTACAAATTATTCAAAATCATTTCTATCTAATGATCATATTGATCCTATATTCTATTTAAATAATAATAATAATAATGATCCTTTATTATATTCTAAACAATTTCATTCATGTTGCCATCCAGTAACTAAGTATGGGGAAACAATGAATGTTACTAATCATAATAGTAATAATAATAGTGATAATAATATTAATAATAATATTATGAACACTTGTCATTCAACAGATATATTTGAAAGTTCCGATAGCATTGTATAACACATACATATTCATCATGATGAGTTTTTGTGTATGTTTGTGTCTGTGTGAATTTTATATAAAATAAAACATATGCTCATTTGTGACTGGCTTCAAGAAGTATTTCATGAAGGTTTGATGAGAAACAGTGATCAGTGGAGTTTAACTGTATCTATTATGAGATAGTAACTCATTGATGAGAATGGTAGATGTGTCGGTCAATTTTGTAGATTAGTTGAAGTAAGACATTGTTATAACTTGTGAACCTGTGTGCCTTGTTTATTGTATAACGTAACGATACCGCCAATCAGAGAGCAGCGAATTATCGATCGAAACAGTGACGTATAAAACATTAGCGAGCAGTCCAGAGTCCTGGATTGTTTGGCTTCCTGTATAGCCCAGCCAGTTAAGTCCAGAACACCAATCTCAGTCTCTGCAATATGACGCATTTATTTCAAACATATTCGATTTATATACCAACCAGACAAACCACAAGGTACCATAAAATATGAAACAACATTTGTACAGGAATTACCCAAATGTGGCTATGAATAAGGGAGATAGTAATTAACAGACAGGCCATAACTCAACAAAGGTAAATCGTATAATAATAGTTCGTAGGTTAAAATAAAACTCATAATAAGAGGGACACGAATATGAACGGTTTAGTTACACAACAATTATACGATAGAAATACACGTATAGTATTAGACCAAAAATAGATCCAAACAGTTACCATTCATTATTCTTATAGGGATATAACAGACATCAACACCGTTGGATGCCGACTGGTTCAATGTTTTAAAGGTTAAAGGTTCGCGCAACAGACTAATAGATCCTGGGTTTGAATCTCACAAGGCGGGATCATGGTTGTGTACTGTTGAGGTGTCCCATACGGTCATCCAGTGTTTCCACATTTTCAGTAGTGGTTTAACTTCAATTAATTTATGATTACAACTATTAAAATAAAATGTATTTAGTTTGATAAACAAAAAGAGAAAAAAATTGAAGTTCTGTGCTTATGAGTTGATCTCAGTAATTGGTAATTAATAGTACTGTTCAGTGTGGTATAATGATCACACATTTTCTTTGTAAGCCTCATTAGTTAAGTGACCTTGTGGCTTGAGAAGAATGAATACATTGATCTGTCAAGAAGTTAGAATAACATATGTAAACTTGACATTGTACCAGTCACTACAATCTCAATAGGATACTATGATGATAGTATTGTAGTGTAGGTTACGGCGAAAGTATAATTTATGGACGAACCAATCACGTATAAGATAATAGATCTCGGATTTTGGCGCGAAATTCACCCATCCAATTGAATAAATAGAATTTTGGCATTATATCTGATGTCAGTTGATAATGAAAACCCTAGATATAATTCCTAACCTTAACCATCAATTGTAAATCATAATTCTAATTTCTCACAGTGGTTTAAAACCCTCACTTGGTCCTAGTTATTAGGTGGACACTCTCAACGTCACTTTAGCGTCACTCAAAGGTCATCCATAAATTATGATCTCATCTAGGTTACTATGTTAAGCGCATATACCATATTCTAGCTTCTGAAAAGATAATCAGAGGGAAGAAGCGAATAGAAGAGAGCGAAACGAAATGATGCGAAGTGAAGATGGCTTGTGAGCTAACTCCCTTTAATCAAGCGTTAATCGATATTTATGATCACAAAATAATAAACTACAGACATGTAACGAATAGGATAAGAAGTGTACATATATATGCGATCATATAGAAACAGCCATTGTTGACAAGTGAATAATTAACAAGATCAAAAAGTAACTTCTCCAGAAGCTAGAATAAGTTATTTGAGCCTAACATAGTAAGCGATACTACCGTATATCAGGAATCAAATAGATACAAGCCTACGGAACGGTATGATACTCACGTGATAATCCAAGTTGACAAACGTTGGACAATATTAACTGATGGGTTCCGAATTAATAGTCTAAATTTATCATGCTCCAGTTTTAGTCGACCAATTATACATAGCTTTCATTATCCAGTGTCACTGATGTACCCAGCGGATACTATAATCACCGTAATGTCATGATATGTTAGATCAAATTAATAAGCAAAACTACTTGGTAATTGAAAAATACAAGTGAAAGCAGCTAATTGTAAATAGATAAATTGCTCGTCAGATCAAGAATGGCACCCACTTGCTCTATTATGGATAATTCAATACATGAATAAATAAAATGTTTCTCGATTATTAATAGCCGGCTATTGACATTCAAACATTCATGTCTATCATTGGGCTCGTCAAGTATTTAGTAAAGAACGAAATACTGCATGAATGAAAATAAAAGACAGAACAGAGTCAAGTTCCTGAGTCCAGTTTCGTGTGTGATCGTTGGTAGACATTGTTGAATGGCCTCAAACAAGTGAAGAAAAGTTTCTTTTAGTACTTTTGCATTGTTCTTTATACGGTTTTAATCGGTAATTAAATTATTATAAAGAAAATTTACTTTTTTCTGAAACCGTAAATACTTGTTCCCACAAAGATAGATAGTGTCTATAGGACACGCGTTTCATCCTATTTGGGACATGTCAGCTGGATGTACTCGCATCCCAGAGTTGATGTTCAATACTGGACTCGAACGTAATACCGTTCGCTTCAAACGACATCGCGATTCGCGAATCGGACAAAACGTATGTCCTGGATTCTACTCCTAGCCACTATTTATGTTTGTTTATAAAGGTAATATCGAGGTAGTCCACACAGGATGCACATATGTCAACAAGAGACTGATCGATTACAGTTCTAAACATCAATAGGAAGATACAAATAAACAACACCAAGTGATTTTAAAACTTGTTCCTACAGCTGATAATAATAAGTCTCATTTATTCTATACCAAAAAAAGCAACGACGATGATGATTATCATACAAATAAGAAGTATTTTCAATGATAATAACATTTAGAAGGATTCACTTGGTATTGTTTGGCCTGTATCTTACCATTGAGGTTTAAGACTGCAATTGATCAGTCTGTTATTGGCATATGTGCATACTGTGCGAATGCCTTGATTTTGCCTTAGTTCACAGGCTTTTTGTAAGCAATGATGGGTAGTGGCTAGCAGTGGAATCCAGGACACGCGTTTCGTCCTGATCAATTGCAGTCTTAAACCTCAACGGGAAGATATACAAGCCAAACAACACCAAGTGAATTGAAATTCACCCCATTGCACAATCAAGTGGCAATCAGGACTCAGTAGCTGATTGGATAACGTGATGGCGTTTGAAGCGAATGGTACTGGGTTTGAGTCCCAGAGTGAACATCAACTCTGAGATGCAGGTACATCAAGCTGACAAGTCCTAAATCGGACGAAAGGTGCGTCCTGGATTCCACTGCTAGCCACTATCCATCATCATTTAGAAGGATGTTTCCTCCTTACATAGTTTATAAGATTTCTCTCTATGAGTATATTTGCTAACTAAACATCGTAGAGCATAATCAATAGATTTGATCGATTAGCTGATTTTTATCGAAATGATATCTTGATGTCTTCAGCTTAAGAATCTTTTAGATAATCTTCATTTTGAAATCATAAATAGTTGCTTAGAAACTAAATTAAAACATGCCTACTTTGCATAAGACTTTCTACTCTGATTCCATGTTCATTTAAGATGATTCTAATAAATCCATCAATGATTCTTTTCATTGATCATGATGGCTAATATTCGTGAACCATCTCGTATGAATTGCTATTCTCACCATCTAGCTGTTCATGAACAGGTGAATCTTTTAGAAGTGGTTAGAATTCACAGCTGAATGTTCGATCTATATGTCAATATTAGTTAGCTATCGGATACTATAATTAAATTGTTAGGGATATTGATCTACATGGCTTATAGAAACAGGAGCTCATAAAAGGTATGTGATGATCCAGATCATTGGGGAGACTGACCGACTATATTCAAATACCATACATTGTCTAGTTCATTTGTAAATTTCCATCATTTGTCTTTCAAATTCTCTATGCTTCTTTCAATCCGCAATTATTACCTAGTTTCTCTTCTATTCGCTTCAACTCGATTTTCTTAAACTCCTGCTGCCAGATTTACCACTTTTAACTGCTTTTACATACTATTTATGACTGTTGCCATATTATTACTTGCCAAGGTAATTCGATAAACACCATTAATATAGTACAGAACACTTCACATCAATAGTAATGTCTCATTTGACAAGTCATATAGGAGAACTAATGTTCACTGTGGAACATTAACCCCGGTTATTCAGTCTTATAATCTAGGAAATATCGTAAATTGGTTAAGTATTATCTACAAAGTTTTGTAATGCTGGATTCGATCCTTGCTAAGATCAAAGATATGAACTGTTGAAGGTCTCGTAAAAGCGGTGAAACGGTTGTCAATTACTTACTCGTTTTTTTTTTAAAAATAATGTGTGGGCGAGAATGATAATGATTGATTGTCTGCTTAGTGGAACATGTTGATAGTCTAATAGGTGACAGATGAATTATATATCCCCCTATCCTTATTATTATAACTTATTATTGATTGTTCATTGTTGTTAGATTGTTTTAAGTTTTGGTATGGAAACATATTTCCATTCTAGTCAGACTAATCACGTGATCTTGATCATCTGAGTTATGTTGAAGTCTTGTAGAATCGACACACTGAGAGAGGAATCTAGTGTAGATATTCATTTAAGGTAAATTTAACGTCCCATTCGTGTAAACGTGAAAAACCAACTATTATAACTAATGGAATTAGTTTGTAATGTGAAATTCATTTCATAAAAGATGTTTATGTATGTATCCTTTTTTTTTCCTAATTATTCCTATTACCGACAAATTAAGTCTATAATACAATCAACTTATATTACTTTCATAATTGAATTCATTATTTATATACTACAATAAGTTTTAATGTCAATAATTGGGTTAACCTCATTGTAACCAATGACAACATTGACAATAGTTCCTTTCTATTTAATAATAATAATAATAATAATAATAATAATAGTAATGGCGTCTTAATATCCTGTAAGATGGGTAACATAGTTTTCTTTTATAATCCACCTTAAAGAAATATATTTATTAAATAGTATAGTTGTAATGAATAAGAACAAAAAGGAGGGGGGGGTAATTGAATATAAAGAAGGTCTTAGTGAAACCTGAGATCCATACAATATGGAGTATGTTATGTCCTAGTGAAGATTACA